GGGGTTGCCACAGCGAGTCATTAATTTCCATCTTTCCCTGTTTTCTGCATCCTCTACTCTGACTCCAACTACCTGCATGTCTTCCCTCACGGCATCCATGAATCTCCTCTTCGGCCTTCCTCTCTGTCTCCTACCTGGTAGCTCCATCTCTAACATTTTCCTACCAATGTATCCCCTGTCCCTCCTCTGTACATGTCCAAACCATCTCAGTCTGGCCTCTCTCACTTTTTCTCCAAACTTTCCTGTCTGAGTTGTCCCTCTGATGACCTCATTTCTGATCCTGTCCATCCTTGTCACTCCTAAGGAGAATCTCAGCATCTTTAACTCAGCCACCTCTAACTCTGCCTCCTGTCTTTTGCCAATTGCTAGTGTCTCGAGACCGTACATCATGGCCGGTCTCACAACTGTTCTGTAAACTTTTCCCTTTACCTTAGCTGACACCCTTCTATCACAAATCACTCCTGACACTTTTCTCCAGCTGTTCCATCCTGCCTGCACTCTATTCTTCACTTCTCTTCCACAATCTCCGCTGCTCTCAACTGTTGATCCTAGGTACTTAAATTCCTGTATCTTCGACACCTCTGCTCCCTGTAAACTCACCGTTCCACTGGTCTCCCTTTCATTTATGCACATGTACTCTGTCTTACTACGACTGACCTTCATTCCTCTTCTCTCCAGTGCAGACCTCCATCTTTCTAGGTTTTCTTGTAGCAGCTGTCTACTCTCACTAAAGATTTTAAAAGAAATAAAAATTTTTTTGAGAGTGTATGAATGCGGAAAATGGATGGAGAATTTAAACTAACACCATGAATCTCGAACGTGACCAACGTGTGATCAATTGCACTTTTAATGATACCGGGCCTGTCCTAATTGATCTTGGAAAGGTTCTTATGCAATGTGGAAATTTTACACTCGTTATTGGTATTTTTGGACCCAGGAGGGAAGCAGAGGCATTATGACATGCATATATTGTGTAACAATATCAATACGGGATGCTTGAATTACCAAGGGTGTTTTTTGTTTTTTTTTCTCGTTCAGCATTTTAACACACCAGATTTCTATCTTTGGGCTCATGCAGTGTTTAGGAACACAGTTCCTTTGAAAAATCCCCAAAGAGATGCTACTGGAAATGGACTGAACTGGAATCAATAAACTCCCACAGTGGCATTGTTGTTTCTGTCATCCCTCGAGGATGTCTTCTCTCATTCTCTGACACAAAGGGTTACCTTATGCCTGCATTTCCCTTTTTCATCCAATGGCTGGGCATTGTTTTTTATGTCAGTCGATGGATTATTGATTATTTTGAATACCATTTTGATGGTGAGGCCTCAAATCTAGAAATGAATTCTTTACATTTCAGTCGGGGATTTGGGACTGCAAGTACTTTCCATCAATTTTAAACACGTATCCTGTTCAAGGTCTTGGAGAAACTGGAGCGAATCCCAACTGACTGAGGCCAAAAGCTCGACTGCACCTCGGACTGGTCGCCAATCAATTACAGAGCACATTGAAACAAACAGCCATTCGCACTTACACACCTACAGTCACTGAATGGGAATCCATCTCACACTGGGTGCACAAATGTCCGCTGTGACTCCCATTGCACCCTCAGCCTGCCTTGTCATTAGTCTGTGCATTTTGTTCGCTTTCTGTTCACTTACTGTCCATTCATCATTGTATATACCGGTAGTAGTGTGTTTTTGTCATCTCATCTGTCTTACTCTTGTCCCTCGCTTCATCCTTGTTCTCTTAAATTTCCTTCTATAGATTTAACTCAGTCATCCATCTTTCAATATTGTATATACTGGAAAGCACCCAGTTCTGATCTCTTGGCTTACATGGCCCCTTCATTTGCTCTTCAATTCTCCCTGTGTCTGCTTTTCAGTTTAGAGTGCCACTAAACGCCATGCCAGGCCAAGTCTTCTTCTCCATCAGCTCCTGCCTTGGTTGATCACCTGGTGGCTGTCAACTCCTGGCACTTCATTATGGCTTTTTGTTTTCTGAACCTACCACGAATATCCTGAAGGAGTTTTTCTTCAGAGTTGTTTGTCTGATAGGGGAAAGGAAGAGTAAGTGAAAAAAAAAAAGCTTGGTTTTCATGGTACCGTTTTTTTCCGCGCACAAAAAGGCGCACCTAAAAGCCTTCCATTTTCTTAAAAGCTCACAGCGCGCCTTAAAATCCGATGCGCCTTGTGTATTGTCATTACGGTACTATGTCAACCCCAAAATGGCTCCTTGCTAGAGACATGCTTCCAACGCAGAGTTCAAACTTAAGGCGATCAGTTTCGCAGTTGAACACGGAAATAGAGCATCGGCAAGAGAGTTCAACGTTAACGAGTCAATGTTATAACTTGCTGTTGGTTAAGTGAACTGTGTCGCTGTTTTATTAAATATGTTTTAATGACATCATCGCTATATAAATCAGGGTGAAGTGTTCTGTTGGCATTTCCTTGAGCGTAGCTCCATCTAGTGGATGCATTATAGATTGCGTCTTATAATGCACTGCGTCCAATATATGAAAAAAATTACAAAATAGGCCATTCATTGAAGGTGCGCCTCATAATCCAGTGCGCCTTTTAGTGTGGAAAATACGGTATGTCTCTTATTTTAGTGGTCAGCGCCTCACCGGCTTGTTCCATGTAAAAACACCACAGGATGGCCTTTACTTTAAATTGCAAGGTGAGTACAGATGGGCGTAAAAACACAGACGTGGAAGGGTTGTTTTGTCTGAGTTGGCAGAGGACCGTTATCAGCGAAACAACCTGTCAGCTTTTCATCAATCGTCCATCAAAACTCGCCGCCTCACAATCTCTCCTAAACATCATCCATCAAGCCACACTGGCTGAATTATACTGTTGCTACCCACACAAACACTCGCTCACTCACAAGTGCACACATACAGACAAATCAAATCAATGGCTACCTTCCTCCACATCGGGAAGCTCTGCACACAGTGGGTGGCCTGTGGAGGAGTCCACCCACTCACAGGATATTCAATTGCAAGCGTGGACAAATACATCAGCTCTCTCTCTCTCTCTCTCTCTCTCTATTGTGTCCATGGTCGCCTGGGATCCACTATATTTACACATGCAAGACCCACTTATGTGTACACCTACATGTGTGCTACCAACACAAAAACATACACAAAAAACATCCTCACTCGGACCAAAAAAACAAAAACAAACAAAAAAAAAACTTAGGTTTTTCACCAAGCGAAAAGGCTCTAAGTATGAATGCATGAATGGATTAAGGCGGGGACCCACTGTCCTCAGTTTGTGCGGCTCAGGAATGATGATGAAACAAGCTTGTCACTTGTTGCTAAGCGACCAACAAAAGTAGCCTGGTGCCTTTTCCCCGACTGGTTAAGACAACCAAACTAACAATACTTCAGATTTTAGATTCAGATATTTATCAACAACTGCGTTTGTGTGTGTCACTGTTTCTCATTTTATCCAGAGGTGAGCGGTTTATTGTATTCCAAGGAGGTAGAGGACAATAGCAATGCGTCACTAGGAGAGGAAAAAAAATGACCGTGGCGCCAATATATGTAATCTTGCTTCTACATTTTTATAAATGGCGCGCAAGGATGTTTTCAAAGCCTAGAGAGAGGTTATGTAGAAACATTTTTCGGCACATACTAAATGTACTTAACATACAGCTGCCCGTGATTATACACTTGGCCAAATTGATTCATTGAATGGGGATTTAATTAGTAAAAATGTGACACCTTCAGATGAGCGCAGCAGCAAGACTGAACAAGGAACATACTCCAGCACCGGATCATTGATGCTTCCACAGCCTTTCATAACATGAAAAAAAGAATCAGTTTAGGGTATATGTGAGAAGAGAATATTAATCCCAGAGCAAACACTGTTTGCTTCATGTTAGACATTGGGCAAACCCCACTTTTTGGACAGTAGGGAAATATCTCCAATGTATCAAAAAGCAGCTCGCTGTCTGTTCTTCCCAAGGAATCCTGGTAGTAAGGCATTAGTGTGCAATGTATGTCTACTGCAAACCCTTTATATTTCTTTATGTGGCAGCTTCTGTCCTTGACTTAAATCACACGGTACATACTGTACAGCACAGTGGTTTTATCGAGATACTAGACATTGTTTGGATGATTATTGGCTTTAGCGTTCCAGGAAAATTCAGAGATATGAGGTCTGGATGGTGGCAGTGAACTCAATTCAACTCACTTCACAACAAGGCGCAGTTTGGCAGATAATTAACAGTTCTTCAAAGAGAGGATGCAAGCTGTTAAAAAAGGCAACTCCTGGTTGAATATTACTGTCAAACTAAACATAAAACAAAGAATTACAAATTGTGTATTTCAAACAACAACATAACTTTGCCTTGAATTCTAATAGTTGAATGCTAGCACATAATGGGAAAAGCCCTAGATGGGCTCATGACTAGTATCCAAGTGATGGCACGTTACAATGGATATTTAAACACAACTAATGAAGCAACACAAGTAAACAGACAATATAAAAATACTCACAGGCATATAAATCCTCTGCAAAACATGACTGATATTATTGCAGCTATTATGTCGCTTCTCGTAGCTGTGAAGGTTCTCTTTGCTTCTGCCTGCATGTCAGTACAGTACCACACTGCCGCTGGTGGCCAAGTCACACTCACCAGAAGTAGCTGCAATTAATCATGATGCACAAATTGTTTAAAACTGTGCTTTCTATCAAGCTGTTCTAGTACTTTATGCTTTTATGAAGTGCAACAATCGTGCTATTTTTCTTATTAAAAACACGATTGAAAAAAAATGTTTTGCTGAGGAACGAGATAACTTTGTTGTGTCATGTTTTTGGAGGTGAGCACCTGGCAGAGGCCATTTACACTGGATATAAAGGGTTACACGCCCCTGTATCAAATATCAGGTTTTCGTGATGTAAAAAAATGAGACAAAATAAATGATTTCAAATCCTTTTTATTTACTACTAATGCAGCCTCTCAAGTGTACAACTCAAATGAATTAAAAATGAATCTTCTTTTACTATCCACTGTAGCAGTGCAAATGCCAAACAATGCTGGCTTGTAACCAGAGCTTGACACGAGCCTGACTGATGATGTGTGATTGTGGACATTTGACATGATTGGTTCGGAAATTCCAGGCCCGCTTGGATGTTCTAGATCATATATACATTTTCTGTGTGCTCTTTTTAAGCGATGATTTATTGTTGCCAGGCTCGCCGGACTTCTTGGAAGGGTAAATTGTGATGAATCATGTCCCAGTGTCATGCACCTGTAGCTCAATCAAGTGGTTGCTAAAGAATGGACTCCAGGCTGGCCTTTATGTTCTGAGTGGTATTTTTTTATATGAAAAAAAAAATTAAAAGGGTGGCAAGGACCATTTACGAAGTCAGCGGGTTAGCACTGACACACATCACCTCTTACCTATATATAGTCTCCAATTCACACGCCAACCTAATGACGACAAGCGGTACAGAGAATAGATGAATGCCTATGTTTGTATGAGAATGTTAATTTTCTAATTTTTTATCTCTTACTGTGGAACCCTTGTATAATTTTTTTGTGCAAAACTGAACACAACGGAAATAATATCTTTCCAGTGATTGTGGGAGACATTTTGTACCGGCAGCCCTGCACTAATTGCTTCAGGTGTGCAGTTGATTGTGCAAATGGCTGCAAGAAGCTGCGGGGCGACCTCCCTACGCTGCGAACGTCAGCCCGCATCTTGAACGCGCCACTTTTTTGGGGTGGGCAGGGGGGACGTTTCGCTACTAAAATGTCTTCGTGAGGGAAAAACATGAACGCCTCACTTAACTTCTCCAGCGTGGACTTTGACGCGCAAAGGATGGCGCAGCTTCACCACCGTTCCGTCAAGGTGAGCGTCATCATCGTTCTGGGGGCGATGATCACTTTGGGGAACATCGCGGTCCTCCTGGTGATCACGTCCTCCGTGGCCGGCTGGTCGAGGAGCTCCCGCTACTTCCTGCTCTCCCTGACGGCCGCGGACTCCGCCTTCGGGCTGCTTGTCATGCCCTTGAACCTGTGGGTGAGTCTCCTCAAGGACTACACGGACGGGCCCGACCAGCTGTGTCACCTGGTGGCCTTTTGCAACGCTACCGTGTACTCCACGTGCATGTACACGCTGGCCGCTATCAGCTTGGAGAGGTACATCGCGGTGCTCTACCCCCTCAAATACTCGTCCATGATGACCAGGAGGCGGACTTTGCTCCTGATCGCCTTCTCCTGGTGCTTCCCACCCTGCCTCCTGGCGCCGATATGCTTCCCGGATGGCATCATCCAGGTCCACTTCTCCACCGCCTCGCTGGTGTGCAACCCGTCCTACTCCAGCAACGTGGGTTATTCTCTGAGTTTGGCCTCTTTCATCTTCTTCCCGTGCTCCGCCGTCATGGCTTACGCCAACGTGAGAGTGTGGTGCGCCGCCCGGAGACAGAGCCGCAAATTGCGCCAGTTCGAGCGCGCGCACCGGAGGAGACACAACGTGGCCTCCAGGGTGCTGGTGCCCGTCATGGCTGCTTACTTCACTTGCTGGACGCCGTGCATGGCAGCTATGATCTACAACGGTAAGCACCGATGTAAAACTCACTATCTGAAAATACATTCTAAATGTTCTGAAGCATTGGTTCTCAACTGCAGACTGGTTAACACCAGCCGGCATATTCCAATTGCCGCTAACCTACGCCCCACTCTAAAAGATGTTTAAAACAGTAGAGAAAATCTGTTTGAAAAAAAAAAGTGGGATTTTAAAACAATTGTCGTAGTTTAACTACACATTGTGTCAATTCAGAAACTCAATATGAACATAAGAAATCTGCACCTACAAAAAGGATCTCTTCTTTTTAGGAAAGTGCTACATAATGTCAGTTTGTCTTCTTTTTGGAGAACAAAGGATGCAGACGAGTCACCCGTAACAGTTCTAACACTGCAGGTTCTTATGCAATAAAAACACCAGTCGCGTCTTGTGGGTAAGAGGCAGAGCAGACCCGTCCCACCTCGGGCGGGTGATAGGGTGCCGAGCCGTGCCTGCCTACCAAGAAACTTTCGCCGCCTCATTTGAGGTACTCATCTCTAAAATGATTAATTATGCAAAAAACATTTGTCGAATATATATTGTTGATGGCTGTGACACGTTTTGGGGCAATTATGAAACAACAATGGAGTTTCCACAGAAGGGAGATATCTGTATGTGTAATACACGGTTGAATAAAAGGAAGAGGAAAGTGTGCACATTACTTTGGAAAATAATGTCATCAGATCATGTGCCATTTTGTCATTGTTCCGGACCAGCCTTTGTGCACTTTCCTAAACTTGTACCTTTTATTCTTATTAGCATTTCTGATTCCTGCAGGTGCTGATATTTTGGACATGACTTTCTCACATTGTCACTCTTAGGGCCCAGTTTATCTTCAAGGGTTTGTAGTTGTTATTGATGAGTGGGTCGCTTGTGGATTCTCTTGCAGTCTTTGAGAAAAGATTCTTTGAAAGCTTGTAGCAATTTCCTACTTTTACCAGGAACATGATATTTAACAAGAGCCAGTGAAAGTTTTAGGAGGAGACAGCAAGTAAAAAGTAAGCTCGGCTATTATTGACATGCTCACATCTTAGATTTAAGAGTTCCTTGAAGAAATAGTCAGATCCGATATTTGTGAAGGCGAGTTGACTTTGGATTACTTGATTGTAAATCATGCTTATACCACCCTTTTTATTTGGTCGAATGGGTCTTTTTATGGACACCTGGGCATGAATACACAGATTTTTAAGGCCAACCTTATGAATTGTGCCCTTTTGGAAATGTTCTCATCAACTTCAGCCATTTTGCTGTCATGCTGTAATCAAGATTGAATGTAGATTTAATGCTGAGTATTTTTAGAAATGAAGACCTTTTCCCAAAGAGGCTTGCCATTAATCTGTTATCCAGAAAAATCCCTGCAGAGCTCAGTCTTAAATGTATATATCTGCTGCTGTCTGACTGGTTACCTTCCCATGTGCTGCAGTCGATGTAAATAAGTTTATATAACGCAACATACAATTTTACAAAAATTGTAAAAGTATTATTTCTGAATATTTATTTTACTTTCAACCACTCGACATGTTCAGTGGCATCAGTGCTAAACATACACATATAGTTCTTATTTTTTTACTATGTATTTTTGCCCTCTATGGACAATAAAAGCGGTATTGTGCTATGACCAAAACATGAATATAAATCTATATAAATAAAACATGAATTGGAATATTTCATATCACACAATTTTTATGCTTTGTCTTTGATGTAAAGATGACAATACGCAAAAATCTACAAAAATTGTAGAAATTGTAACACATGGGTTACGAGAGGCATTGCGCTTGGAACATATTTCTGAACGCACCAATCATGAAGTAAGAAGGACTTGGGGGTGGGGGGGCAACAATCTCTAATGTTCATGGTCTGGGTTTTTGTCAAAGAAATTTCCCTTAAACAAATATGACAATTTTTGACTGATCAGACTTAAAAGGCAGAAAACTAGCAAGGAACCCCGCAAAGTAGCACGTTAAAACTGAAACGGATGGAGTTACGGTCACAAATGAAAACCCCGCGAGAGACTGAAATTGCAATCATCAAACCGCAAAGTAAACTGTAATAAATCAAATCAACTGTACTCCTGTGTGCTCATTCGTGCCGTTTTCTCGCGCAGCCCTGTCGGGTAGCTCCGTTCCAGAGTGGGTCGAATTTGTGGTGGTTTGGCTGCCGACGTCCAACGGTTTCCTCAACTGCATCTTCTACTTTTGGATCAACAAAAGCTTCCGACAGAAATTCCACCTGATCGCGCATAGACTAGCTCACGCCCTCTGCCCGCCACTGCTCAACACTCTCGGATGCTGCAGACCATCCGTGATTCCGTTTGGCTCAGGCTTCCTGGATGACAATCGAGTCCATGAGCGCTCATCCAGCGTTTCCTCCACCTGCACGCTAATGACCTTAGCCTAGCAGCTCTGAGAAGTGCCATACAGGCATGGCAGAGGACTTGTGTTTTTATGACTGAAGCTACTTCACTGGTTAATGCATTCAAAGTGGACTTGAGTTGAGATATAAATGGCTCGCACTAGGCCGTGATGACAAGTGTATGGGGGGGTCATTACAGATCTGCCCTCTAAAATATCATTGGATTTATTTTGTCTTTGTTTTATTTCCTTTTATGAACATGCGGTCAAAAGAAAGCGTTCTCTTTATAGCTCCTGTGGCATTTTTGTTGTTGTTGTTGTTTGTCTATTTGTTTTGTTTTACCTCCCAACTGGCCCCCAGTGTTGAAGGGTTGAATGCACTGTCAGCAAACACCTCTTAAACCAACTTTCGGACGTTTTCGAGTAACACTCCAGCCTGCCCAGCACAACTGTCCCTGTGACACATTGCGACAAAAGGAGTATTTCTAATGTCAGATTCTGCTCAGAGTCGATTAGTTTGCGCACGTGCGTGACTGCGAGCGCACTGAAGGCTCGTCGCCATCCGCCTCTTCCTTATTTTTAAACGCGAGGATGGAAAATGTTGACGTATAACAGCTGGGAGAGGTTAACCTTTAAGTCGCGCCGTTTGAGCGTATGCAAGGAGAAAAGTAATTAAGCAGTGACACCGTCGAAAGGTCACCGCGGCCGTGCTGCCAGAAGATAACTTGGATAACTTCTGAGGTTGTTTGTTTTGCTGTGAAGCGCTTCATCTGTCGTTTTGCCAACGGGGGCCTCTTCAGAGTGACGTCCGCAGTGAACGCTGCTCGCAATGCAAGCGGAGGTGTCCCCTTTTGAGCTATTTAATGCCATGTATTTTAGCCTTTGCTGTGTGCCGCGCCTTCATGGGGGAGCCATGAGGGGTAATCATGTTGCGCATTCCAAAATGTCCCAAGTTTCATGTCAGATTTTTCTTTGAATTATTTTTGGTTGTGAAATAAGAGATTTGTTTTTTTGGATAATATATGGGTTATGAATGATCTAAGAAATAAAGCGTTATGCCTTTTGTACTGCGCGAGCTGCTTTGTCTGACAAAATACTGCATTGTCTGCAGGTTCTATATCGCAATGACGCAACAGCAAAACAAAATGCATTATTATGCCCCAAATGAGACCAAACTGTTAAAAAAAAGAAAAAAAATATCCTGGCACTGCACCAACATTGAATTGTGTTTTTGCCTTGGCCCATGCTCCATCCCAATCCAAAGTTTTATGGAAATCAGCAAAGTAGTTTCATCGATATCTTGCCCACAATATAATAAAGAATAAACAAACCTTTTTTTTTCCACTACCACTTATCAGTTTGGCCTTGGCAGTGTTCTGAGCTTTCTGAGTGCTATTATTAATCATTTGTTTTTGTGGCAGGAAAGCAAAGTGAAAAGTGCTTTTCGTTTTCCTGCAAACACTGTTCCTTCCATCCGGAGCGGAGCGATGAATTCAGGAGCTTGTAATTACATTTCTGTAAAATTCTGAAGAGTTTAATCAAACCACTTGCATTGAAATTGTCCCAGTAGGCCGACACCCTTGATAATCCGAGAAGAATATATGATGTTTAAATGAGGACCAATGGTGGAGGAAAATGAGAAAGTCAGCTGTGCAGTGGTATAAAGTGCATGCGGAGCGGCTTATCATTCTCGAACTTTTTATCTGGTTGGTGCTCTCCACAATCATCGAAAAACTGTTTCCTTAAACACTCAATCAAATGAAATATGCGGCAATGCAATACAATATGTTGCAATAGCTGTTTTGAAAATTCTGCCTATACTGGCTGTTTGCACTTTAAGAAGTCAAGTAGCATAATTTTTACAATTGTTCATTTAGAATACAAACCTGTCAGCCAATCGAAAATTGTAAACAATTTTATTGCAATTTCAAATATACGAATGGAAAGTGTTGTACTACATGGAAAATATACGATCTGTTTTTTCTGAGATTAGATAAGGAAAAAAGGTCAGCTAGCCACATGTAAGTACAAAAAATAATAAAAGTAACATTCGTGGGCATTGGTTTAGATTCGATATATGTTAGATTTTCCACATAAACTTAATAGTAAAAACTAGTTTTAATATAATGAACATTTGCCTAATGGACAAACCAGCTGGGCATTTGACTTCATTGGATCATCGTATACAAGTCGCCTTAATGTTGGATTATTATTTGAGATGCTCCAGAGTGTGACTGAGTCCTTGAGCTGCTCCCTCCTGGTCATGGTGGAAAATGGAATTGTTGCATGCATTGCTGAACCCTTTGATGTCAAGGGAGCTACACTTTTCGTGTTGTTGTAGAGTGCCAAGTTCCAGCTTCGGTGACACCGAAGGTGACTCGGCAGGAAAGCATTCTGAATTTTCCTAAATGACCTCCTAGTCCTTCAGGGGGAAAGTGGCTTGTTTTAGTGAAGCTTTTAGGCAGCTGTCAAAGCTTTTAGAACACTCCTGGGGGTTTTCTCAGTGGACAGAAGATCTGTCAGGCTCCTCTTCACGTGGGTGTGTCTTGAACTACCGAGTCCTCGAGTGCAAATGTGAAATATCAGCTTAACATATCGGTCCGCGCAAAAACTAATCATGGTGAGCATGTATATCCTGTGAAGTTGACCTTTCCAAAATCACACCCCACCCCTCCATCTCTAAGTGTTTTTCCAAGCATTTGAAATCTTTGCTGCAACCAGCCTCCCAGGACAGATGTGCATTAGCAGCCTCGCCTCTCGTTGCAATAATTGACAGGCTCTCGTGTTCAGATGAGAGCTTCATAGTCTCCCACAGGTGCTCTCTGACAGGGAGGCATCATTCTGGTCACTTGGACAGTCATCCCTGCTGACATGGATGAAAGTAATGAGCACAAATTAGACACTAAATGTGAAACAATTAAAACGTGTGTGTGTGTGTGTGTGTGTGTGTGTGTGTGTTCATTGCGTTGTTTTTCAATAACACAGGTGCTGTCATCTCACTACAGACGGTCAGTAAAAATAATAAAAAAGGAAAAAAATAAGTGCCAATTACTGCTCTTCTTCAGGGTGTAACATCATTTAAACCGCGTGTGAGGGCCTGCGTGTATTATGTGCCCACTGATTGTACCTGCTGTTTCCATTTGAGTGGGTTTGACGAACATGTTCAGTTTATTTATTGAGAAGCTCAACACATTGAGCTGATAGTGCCCCCTTGTGTTCAGAGTGAATATGGCAATACAAGCTCACTGGTTTGTATGTAATAATAACAATACTCGTCATGCATCAGATGTATGTATTCTAAGGTTTATGGACCAAAGTAACAAAAGAGTTTTGCCCCCTAATTAATTAATGAATAATCAGTCAGGTTTAGAGCTAGTTACCCCTGAATCTGGATTCTTCATCTGTCTTAGTCTTCATTTTGATATCTTTATTGAAGAGAGAATCGGCGACATATATCAAAATTAGATGGATGGGTGCCATTTTGACCTCTAGACAGTAACGATGTACGCATCTTTGACCGGTCATGCCCCCCCCCCACCCATAGACCCATCAAATTTCGATTGACGTTTGATGACTGGCCTCCATGACATTTATTGCTACTTAAGTCGAATTATAGGATCGATGAGTGACGATTTGCCTTGATGTCACTTTGGGTGCTATTTCGGTCGAATGAGGATGGATGATTGACCTATTTCGACTTACACGTCACAATAACAATTAGGGGGGAACAAACAAACAAAAAAATGACAAAATTCTTTCTTTTTCATTGTGTCTGTGAAAATTCACTGCTACCGAGAGACCAGAAATCTACAGACTGAATTGAGGCAATTGGAATCTTCTTTTTTGGTGACATTGTTTTCAAAAATGACTTGGGCAATTCTGCTACTAGGCTAACGATATGTAAACCTCTTAGGCGTCTGTTTATGCACGTGTGTGGGTGTAATGGAGTTTTTAGACATTTTCTATCAGATAATGAGTTGATTTCAATCTGTGAAAATGTCAATCAATCGGTCAGTCGTATTCAAAGCTGTTGTGGGGACATCGGTCTCACAGAATTAAACGGTGCTGAATATATTTGTGTATTATTTATTTTCATCAGGTTTTCAATGACATGAGATGGCAAACAAAGCAAACACAACAGCTGTCAGCATAGTAAACGTCAACTTCTGCTTCTGCAACTGGTATGATCTGTGCAAGCAGCAATAAATCATAACCCAAATTTCTGAAACAGTGCAGCTTCATGGGCAGATAAAGGGTTTCCAATTGCACAGGTGGACAATGTGTTTCAATTGTGTAATGTAAAGAAAAAAAAAGACAGCGCTGTACAATTTGCAACTGAATGGGTAATTTTTTTTTTTTACTAAACTGAGAAACCAGTTTCCAGATGTTTTTCATATTTCGTGTTTAACATATCCTTTGCAGACAGAAGGCATTTAAATCGATGCAACTTACTCAGCAGCTGCCAGCACAATGCACCAAAAATGTTTGGGACGGGTCAGTAAGACGTGCTATAGGAATACCCAGTTTGACAAGAGAACAACAATAAGACAAACCCTACTTATTAATTGTATTCTTCCTTGACAAGCATAGATTTGCAATGGATTTCACTATTTTCGGAGAAATAGGAAAACAACTGATGCACTGTAATGCCATTTATTAGGTTATGCTTAAACTGATCCATGATGGATGCAATCAAGTCTGACATCAGATCGATGCCATTGGACTGTAGCAGTAATTAATTATTTTCTCTCCAGATAAATGAATTAAAAAAAAACAAAACAAATTTTTGGTCTGCCATGATCCTGATTAGATTGAAAATCTTGATGCAGTTTCCTCCTGTGTGAAGTTTTTGACTGTTTCTTCAAAGCGGCCAAATAAAATCAACATAGACCAAACTTAGTCAAACAGATGCATAGTTAAATAAAATGACAAGGAGAGGCAAAAAAGATGCGATGAAATAAACCTGGAGGCAGTGAGGTTAATAGTCTCTCCTTGACTGCTGGACTTGGTGGACGATGACTCGAGGGCAGACGAACAATTGCCGTCCTCCCTCTCTACTGTGAGACCGTTCGAGGGGGTAAACTCTGCGAGGTGGTTTTGGTCAAACATTTCAAGGCCTCCAGATGAAGAGAATGAGATCAAATGGGAATGTCGGCACTTAAGAG